GTTAATCGCTGGATGATAGACTAACAAACGTAATATGAAAGGATTGGGTAGTCCTCCACCTATATAAGGAGTACAGAATCCAGCCATAGAGGCATCTTAGTGACCATAAAAATCAGTTCGTTATACATAGCTTATCACAGTACTTTCATAGTGAGTGAATTTAGTTTTACGCCGTTTTTAGCAATATTCCAGCAATATCACGGCGGGGGACACCAGAAATGGACTTCATATATTGTACCCATGTTGGGAATCTAACTCATGTCTTCGGTGTGACGAGCAAACGCTTAAACCACAAGCCCCAGCCCCTTCATCACTATACTATGGGGCGTAAAACCATACTCACTCACTATACGGCGATAACATCTTTCTATCACTTTAAAATCACTATCACTTAACCTTATAATCCCCAGGAATGGTTCAAGCAAACGTCTTTTAAAACGACGCCAACATTTCTCGAAGATAACACACTACCAGCAAGCTATGTGACATATACCGCCTCTTTGGAACTTACACTGTTAGATTATGTTCAACGTTGGCAGGTCATTTGCCGTACACGTCGCAGTCACACCTCCAACCGAGCAGGATACCTCGTTACACCGACACTAACGAACGCTCTGAGAAATGTATTGGCTTGCCGAGATACCCTAGCTTTGATGCCTGTCACTTAGCCTTCTGCGACCCCCAGATGCGTTGACACCACCCCCGGGAAACTGCTTATTTCATCTCCCACAACGGCCATGTATTTTATTTGAGTGAGTAAGCTTTTACGCCGCTTTTAGCAGTATTCCAGCAATATCACGGCGGGGGACACCAGAAATGGGCTTCACACATTGTACCCATGTGAGGAATCGAACCCGGGCCTATTTGAAATACTTTTAGAAAAGAAATAAGGATCCGCTATACTAAATTTTGAGTGAATCTTCGACGCTTTAATTATACCTGTAACTGGTTGTGTACCAGGAATTTCGTTCAGAGACCATTTCTGTATTCCAGGAACTCAGGTATTGGAAATCTTTCCTGTTTTAGTAGTATTTCCCAGATGTGATGCAAATTATTAGGGTTCCGGTCCACACAACGTTCGTAGCGCTGCGACATTCATACGCCTATGATAAATTATAGAGTTACGACTGGTCGTAACGTTACGAATGCGTTCTGGATCGGGACCTAGAATTTTGTTATATTTGAGCACCGACATGCATGCGGGTAGACTTGAGTGATGGAGTGTACCTCTTAGTGCCTTTAGTTCTCCTAGTTGTTGACGGCAACGTGTTATTTACTAAAGCTACGTCTTGCTTCAGGTGACATTCATCAGTCTTAAGAGATATTAAGTCGACCAGGCAACACTGGCAATGCTAAGTTCTCATTACAACAAGTGTTGTAATCATTGCCCACCAAACATTTTTTAAATGGTCACAACACAAATTAGCAACGTTCTCCTATACTTATATATATTCTTAATTACACACTGCTAGGAATAATTCAATCAGATTTAAAGATCACAGCGAGCGTTGGAATTATTATGAAAACAATATTTACCATAGGAATTCTGTATTGTAACGGGAAATTACTCTACATAAAGACAAGATTCAAGAATTAATGAAAGGAGAGACCATATACTGATCACTAATGAAAAGGTTTACACGCTATTTATGGCTACCTGAAATTTGTGAAGGCGAAGAATATATGGTCTGTAGAAGATAACGAATAAATAATTTCAGATATGATATGAGTACTAAGACGTTATTGTGTTTTAGCCACGATCGTCAAATATGTTTGTAGTTCTTAGGAAACAATCTACATTCGTTTTATAATGGCATCAAACATGAATTAATGGTGGCATGCAGATTCATTCGTGACCAATCGGACATCCGGGACGATCCGAACGAGTTCACGGAAAGTACCGAGTGGTTACTGATGTCATGGCGAATAATACGAAAACACCGAAAAAGCTAAGGTTACAAAAGCTACTTTAGATGCATAGATTTCAGTTGACCGTGTTAGGAGCGTCATCTCGGCTCGACACGTGGGAGTATATCAGCAGTCACATCTTACAAAGAGGCTACACGTACAACTGTTAAAGGGGCTCTCCGAGTGGCTAAAGAACAGGCTACTCGCATAAGCTAAAAGCAGCCATCGAACAGTACTCTAAGGCTGGAAGGCGAACGTTAACACACGACCTAACTATACGTCACGAAGTAACTCCAAGTTCTGACGACACCGGTGTAGTAAAAACCTATTAAAACATATGAGAATACGGTAGAACATGTTAAAGGTAGACATCAAGCGATACCTAACGACTGGAAGACCAAAATTAACACGTGACCTATAAACGTCACAAACGAATTCTCATCCAGCACACGACTATTCAATTTAGGCTGTACAGAAAGGAAAGTACAGTAAAAATTAACTCCTTCATGTCAGACTATATCACTGGAGTAAGCAGCTCTTAGACTTTGTGCGCGATGAAACCTTTAATGGAGCATTTCTACTCAAATGACGGGGAAAGCAAAGTACTATCCGACTAACACAGATTGGAAACTCTGATTTGAGTGGACCATTGTACATGATTAGAAAGAGAAACTTCAACATGCAATAACATATTTCTAATACCACATATTGAAACAAGACTCAGTATTTAACATACCTGAAACATACTTCTTGAAATTCTTGAAATTAGCTAATGAATGGGTACATGTATTCGTAATTGTGAAATATTCAGACTAATTTTGTCTATTTAAAGATAACAGTAACCAGCAGTAAACGTTCGAAAAAAGAACAGTATTGATAAGAAATCTGTAGAAAATGACCTCTATTTGTAAATCCACAATATATAGTTTATATCTGATCTATATGAACCCCTCCATGTAGTACTATACTTTCAGAGTTTCTATATACTCGCTTTCTTAAAATACATGTATGTCTCCCATTACATTAAAAAATATTTACGCTCAATATTAATAAATATATTATGTTTTGATGTTATGCATATAAGGGTTATACATTCTTCTTATGTTCGACTGATAATATACTCATGCCAATAATGGTTGTCACCCCCTCCCCACCCTTAACCCCACACACCCTCTCCAATTTAAAACATTGAAGGGGTGACAACCATTATTGGCATGATAATATGTTCGATACTTCAATATACCGTCATGTACCTCTACGCTAACCACTTTGATGCACATGTGAAACATGTGGTCTCACCTTAGGCAAGTGAGTTTGTTCAAAATTGTCTCTGTTCACCCAGCAGAAAATGGGTACCCGGTGGGATAAATCATGTGGCTATTAACCTTCTAGCGCTTCACATGCAGCTTGGGTTATCCGGGATAAAAATAATCAGATTGTTTGTGCGCGCTTTGAGTATGCTTAGACATGGATATACGCGCGGTACAAATATGTATTATTATTATCATATATATATATAGTATATTATTATAATGCATGCACTGTTATGTCCTCCTACCCACTCAGCGAACCCCTTGACATCTACATGGAACAATTTAACAGGTAACATCTAAAGAGATAGAGAAAAAAATATACAAATATACGCTCTACACAGAGGATGAAGAGTTATCATACAAGGTACAAATTCTACCGTAGAAATGTACAATATACAAGTTGAAGGAATCCACCGTCTGTACAATTAAATGTTTCAGACACAGCTGCAAAGTCTGTTTTTTTTAAATTTTCAAAAACTTAAATGTGTTTTCTGAGTAGTTTGTCTAAATGTCTGCCGCTTCTAAAAAGTGTTTCTCTTAAATTCGAGCTGAAGCCCCTATTGTAATTAAAAAATAAGGTCTTTAAACGAAATAGTTTGAACTGGTACGGAACACCTGCTTGAATTACGTGTTCTTAAGTGTCTCAGTTCCAAATTTGGCTTGGGACAATCAATTTGCGTCTGGTTGCATCTCGAAACAATCTCTTTAGGAATTCTTTTATGTGTTTTTGCGCAGACAAATATAGCTCTTTAATGGCAGGCTGTGTTGAAATGGAACATTAAAGAGAAGACAGTTTTCTCAAACAAAGATAGGACACATATGTATATATCTCAGCTCCGAAGATGAGAATCATGCAGGACAATGGAGGGAAACTGGAAATAGACATGACCATATTTGGAATAATGCACACGATACATTGATGTAGTTGATCACCATTGCTACATACATCTGCTCCAGAATTGATAATCGACTTGCCACGGACACGAGCTTGGATTAACTTGCACTTCGTTCGGAACAATATCACTTTAGGATTTGTATTCATTAACAACATATCGAAGGTTTGTAGCATTTTGTCGAGGGTTATCTGCCCCTGGCATATCCACGTACAAGACATTATAGGCGAGTCTCATTGAACAGCAAGTGAAATGGTCTGTTGAAGAAATATACATTTCTGGCTATTACGAAAGAGATGAAAAGGATTGGGAAATTTAAGTGTAATGATATCATAGACGCTTAACATCACAAGCTACCATATAGAGGTTAGGAGAGAACATTTTTCAAATGCGAATAGGGGTTGGTAACAGGTTATGAAAATTGGGAGTAAACAAAGCTGAAATTCAACAAATATCATAACACTAAAAATACTGAACATAAAAATGGGAATCAAGAATATATTTGGGGAAATTACTTTTTGTAATTGTAAGCTCACTCTTCACTATAAAATAACCCCCAAATATTCATGATCCCTGAGCTGTTTTGTTCGGTATATGATCATATGATAACCTTATTGATTGAGCTATCTGAGGTACGAGACAGGTATATAGTCTCAGTGTTTTCAGTAGGGTAGGTATTGGATAAAATATCAAAGTGCCAGTGCCTTCACAAATGACCAGCTTTCCTTTAATGCAGTGGCTATTTATGGACATCCACATAATGGACGAGGCTAAAACATCCATCCATCATTGAGATAAACGTTATATTATTTCGTAGATTTTTTGTATTGAAAACTCATCAATACATTTAAACAGTGCCGATGTGATATTAGATGTTTACTCACTCTCTCACAAATCATATTTATTACTTAACTAATTTAATGTAAACCTTAAAATGATACGGGCATTTGTAACCATTAGGACTGAGAACATTTTCAATAACCATACACCCGCTCATAACAAATTGTTATTAATGTTTAGTAAAAAATATCATATGACTCGCTTACATATACATAATTTGAGCGTTTACCGATTATAGGTCCAACGGATAAGCATTTTGTCCTGTTCGTTAAGATCCAATTAGGCTGGAAGGATATTGACGAGGATTAGATCAACATGGAGTTTTGTGCCTCCTCGTGAAGAATTTTGAAAGGGGAGACAACTGATACACGGTATGTATAAAGCACGACACTGGAGAGTCAGGCGCAGTCGGCTAGAACACGAAGCAGAGTAGTATTCTGGAACAATAGACGCCGTAATAAATATATGAAACAAATGGCATTTTGCTGGCGTCTCGATCCAGACGCCAGACATCTATATGTTCCCTGGTTGGACGAATCTGTAAACCTGGCGTTCCGTTGATGTTGTCTTTTCCAATGCTAGAAAGCATACCGGAACATCCCGTAACTCATAATTCTCCATCAGACATCCATGCCCACCACTGTTAAGTATCCATATCCTGTTCTAACAGAACTGCTCTCTGAACGAGATTAATAACGTCACGTGACTCCACGTCCATCTTATAGGTTCTGCGTGGACATTCCACGGCACATGATACTTTCGAAGGTCGTCTAAACAAGCCTAAACTTGTAGTCATGGTAACCGGAAGATAAAAAGCCATTTCATTCTCATTTCCACAGTCGCCATCTTGATCTTCGGCCATTACACGGAAACCACATGACAGTTACGAGCATGATTAGACAAGTTCATGGAAGTTTCAAGGCGAATTTGACGACTATAGGTCGTCTATAGTTAGGTATCCTTGTGTAGAACACACCTCTTGAAGGAAAGTCGTTCTTTGGTAATTAGTCGTAGGGAGATATTGCTTGTAGACAATCAGCACCGTGACGTCATTACCCATAATCCTCTAGGTTTGCACAGTTTTTGATATTGGTATTTCTTTCCTACCGTGGCACTTGAAGCTCTGCATACGAACCAAACACGAGGTTTGTGACGTCATAGCACGCAGGCGCAATTTTCAACACATAATCACGTGACGCTATTTCTTGTACAAGTCGTTTACTGAAACGAAGTAGAAAAACATGTGTTTAAAAGGCTGCAAAACTACTCATGTATGATCAACATTAGAACTTGACTATAATCATTCATCGTTTCTGTATGAAACAGAGGCACAGAGACGCGCCCCTTAGGTGTGTCAGGATAGATGATCGCGGGTTTGAATTACAGTTTCACCCAAGATATGATTAGTAAGTCAACATCACACCCTTTCTTGCAAAGTTTACCAAAGAGAAAAACGCGACCCTCCGACTTCCAGAGATTCTGTTCGAGGCGAGACCCGTTAAGGTCCGGATTAGAATGAACCTTCAGCAACCAATGCTTGCCGTAAGAGGCGACTAACGGCATCGGGTGATCAGGCTCGCTGGCTTTGTTGACACATGTCATCGGTTCCCAATTGCGGAGGTCGATGATCAACTGTTGATCACTGGATTGTCTGGTCCAGAGTCGATTATTCATAGACCACCACCATATAGCTGGAATATTGCTGAGTGCGGCGTAAAACTAAACTCACTCACTCACTCTGTTCAAGGTGACCACAAACCAAAGTCATTTTACACAACAGCCAGTTTTAGGTACTTCAGGCACTAGAGATGTTACCTGTAGCAGAAGGGAATGTTTCAGAAGCACCGGTTTGTCACTGTAAATCCAGCATGTCATTTTTGTTGCAAATAAAACTGTACCGTTCAAATTTTCTACGTCAAAAGAACAACGCCCTGTTATCCATTTTTTTCAATAAATATAAAAACGCCCTCATTACGTTTGAGAAAAAACGGGTCGAGAAACCCAAATAGTATGGAAAAAAAGGGAACCCTGGTATTTTCGTGGCTAATTTAGGATTATTGCAGTAAGAGGCGATATATGGATCTGTAGTGAGACAAAGTGACTTGCTTGATTGCATGTCATCGAGTCTCAATTTGATAGATCGATGCTCTTGGTATCAACCACAGGACTGCTTGGTCCATTCTCGAATATTTACAGACCGACGCATTAGTTCCAGCGGCGTGAAACAAAACCCCAATCATCCAAACAAACCAAGTGAAGGGGATTATTGTCGTGTCAGCTAGTAGCTCCATCAGGTTTGAATCAGATATTTCAAGCCTTGCCTGGCTTCTAGTTGAACGTCTTTTGACCCGGATCAATCTATAATCTCTGATTTCCTTAATTACATGGACATGTCTAACCCACAAGACACGGTCACAGTACGTTATAAAGTCCAGACCGTGCTGAACGAGGTACCACGTTGAGAGCAGACGTCTTAAATTTATTTTAGCTCAAAAAGTAGAGTCGATGCAAAACATCGAGGCAAGATCTTTGCTCTCTAGAAGTGGCACAGTGACACTTAACAATGACAAAAATACTTAAACTAAGTTAAAAATCAATACTTACTCCGGAGAACTCTTGTTAAGAGAATGACATGAAACGTAGAGAAAACCGAAGACAAAAAGTCAATATTCCAAAGGAACGTCGATCTCTAAAGGATAAAACGCTGAAGAATGCTGTTGCTCAGCATTTAGGTCTTCTTTTTGTACAATTGTAGTACTCAGTTCTTCCTGATTCCCTCTCCCCTACCCCATTCTTTTACGGGGGTATGGGTGGTTCGGACTCCTGACACGTCTCAATTCGCTGAACAGAGTTACGTCCCTTACGCGGCAGACGACATATGATCGAGGATGTAAATCTGAGATTCCTTGTTGTGTTTAGTTTTTTCAGCCTCATACCCATTACAGATTCAAAGGCGGATCCAGAGGGTGGTTGCAGGGTGCGCCCTTTGCCCTGAAAGTTTATTAAATGACCATTGAAACTCGGGTGAAAATGAAGTGTGCACCCCTCCTTTTCTCAATAGCGCGCACCCCCACCCCCGACCCTTCTCAAAAAGCTGTATCCGCCCCTGAAATTTAACCTAAGCAGTATACGTCTAAGATCAGAATCACCTGGGACTTTTACCCCACATTAAGCTGTCTTGACGTGATCTAACTGGAATATTGTCAGCTGCCTTGAACCACACAGACTCACTTCTGGTTCGTTCTCTCAGACTAACGCTTACCTTGATAGTACGTATCTTTCTCCATTGAACATTTTCTTGACTGAAACAGAAAACAAATCATATAATACAGGTATTCTTAAATTCAAAGAAAGAAATTCCGAAAGCTTGAGGGGATGTGCTCATATATACAAAGGGAGACAATCGTGTCCATGATACGGCGATCGTAACCATTTGTTTTGGGCCCCGTTTCTGAAAGCTATCGTAGCGCACGACTGTCGTACCTCCTAGGCCTAAGTTTTCGAAGCTCTCTAAGTGCTAAGATAGTCGTAAGTCAATGTTAATGTATGGCACTTACGACTATCTTAGACTGTACTGTAACATAGACTTACGACTGTCGTAGCGCTACGATAGCTTTCAAAAACCGGGCCCCGGAAACGCTGCCTTCCAGAGTAACGGGTTGTCACCATACACAAGGATACTTACCCTTTCTTGAAGTTAATGTTGGTCCTCACGACCCTGTGGTTCAAAGGCATCAGTGGACGGGCGTTCACCTCCATTGGAAGATCCTCAAGATTCTCCCGACCATTGTATAAAACTCGTAATGATGATAGCTAGAAAATACAAAACACAAGCAGTGAGTGAGTGAGATTAGTTTTACGCCGCTTTCAGCAATATTCCAGCAAAATCACGGCGGGGGACACCAGAAATGGGCTTCACACATTGTACCCATGTGGGGAATCGAACCCGGATATTGGGCCAGACGAACGAACGCTTTAACTACTAGGCTGTCCAACCGCCCCCAAAACACAAGACACAACATCAATGACAACGACGACAACAACAACAAAGCACCTCCTCACCACAATAACAACCAACAACGACAAACCACGACGGTATTAAAGTTTTGTTTCATCAGACCTGATACATCAGTGTAAAACGCAAAAGAAATGATTAAACTCTCTTAAAAGTATTGTCTGCGGGTTGAAGTACAAACAAGTCTGACAGAAATGAGTTTTCGGAGATGCTGCTGTGAAAGGTGAGGCAACGCGTCGTTCCCCTTCTTGTTACCACTCTAGTGGTTTTCTTTATTACTTTAATCATAATGTATTAGTAAAATTGTCCTAAGGTTTTCAATCTTTACGTGAATTATTTTGTTTTCTATTAGCAGACTTATTGGATTGTCTTAAAGGAAAGGTATAAACTACCGCAGCTGTACATCGCTCATAACCGGGAGTCGTTGCCAGAGGCTGCAGTAATAGCAGGGCAGAGACCACAGCAGTAGCAGTAGATACCACCTAAATCAGAGTCGTGGCCAGCAGCAGCTGGCAGTAGTAGTAGACAGCACTTAACACGTAGTCATGGCCAGAGACTGCAGCAGTAGCAGTAGACAGCACTTAACACGTAGTCATAGCCAGAGACTGCAGCAGTAGCAGTAGACAGCACTTAACACGTAGTCGTGGCCAGAGACTGCAGCAGTAGCAGTAGACAGCACTTAACGCAGAGTCGTGGCCAGAGACTGCAGCAGTAGCAGTAGACAGCACTTAACGCAGAGTCATGGCCAGAGACTGCAGCAGTAGCAGTAGACAGCACTTAACGCAGAGTCGTGGCCAGAGACTGCAGCAGTAGCAGTAGCAGCACTTAACAGCAACTTAACTGGCCAGAGACTGCAGCAGTAGCAGTAGACAGCACTTAACGCAGAGTCGTGGCCAGAGACAGCAGCAGTAGCAGTAGACAGCACTTAACGCAGAGTCGTGGCCAGAGTCGTGGCCAGAGACTGCAGCAGTAGCAGTAGACAGCACTTAACGCAGAGCCGTGGCCAGAGACTGCAGCAGTAGCAGTAGACAGCACTTAACGCTTAACGCAGAGTCGTGGCCAGAGAGACTGCAGCAGTAGCAGTAGACAGCACTTAGAAGCACTTAACGCAGAGTCATGGCCAGAGACTGCAGCAGTAGCAGTAGACAGCACTTAACGCAGAGTCGTGGCCAGAGACTGCAGCAGTAGCAGTAGACAGCACTTAACGCAGAGTCGTGGCCAGAGACTGCAGCAGTAGCAGTAGACAGACTTAACACATAGTTAGGGCAGAGTAGCAGTAGACAGCCAGAGACTGCAGAGAGCAGTAGCAGTAGACAGCACTTAACGCAGAGACTGCAGCAGTGGCCAGAGACTGCAGCAGTAGCAGTAGACAGCACTTAACGCAGAGTCGTGGCCAGAGACTGCAGCAGTAGCAGTAGACAGCACTTAACGCAGAGTCGTGGCCAGAGACTGCAGCAGTAGCAGTAGACAGCACTTAACGCAGAGTCGTGGCCAGAGACTGCAGCAGTAGCAGTAGACAGCACTTAACGCAGAGTCGTGGCCAGAGACTGCAGCAGTAGCAGTAGACAGCACTTAACGCAGAGTCGTGGCCAGAGACTGCAGCAGTAGCAGTAGACAGCACTTAACGCAGAGTCGTGGCCAGAGACTGCAGCAGTAGCAGTAGACAGCACTTAACGCAGAGTCGTGGCCAGTGACTGCAGAGACTGCAGCAGTAGCAGTGACCAGAGACAGCACTTAACGCAGAGTCGTGGCCAGAGACTGCAGCAGTAGCAGTAGACAGCACTTAACGCAGAGTCGTGGCCAGAGACTGCAGCAGTAGCAGTAGACAGCACTTAACGCAGAGTCGTGGCCAGAGACTGCAGCAGTAGCAGTAGACAGCACTGGCCAGAGACCGCAGCAGTAGCAGTAGACAGCACTTAACGCAGAGCCGTGGCCAGAGACTGTAGCAGTAGCAGTAGACAGCACTTAACGCAGAGTCGTGACCAGAGACTGCAGCAGTAGCAGTAGACAGCACTTAACGCAGAGCCGTGGCCAGAGACTGCAGCAGTAGCAGTAGACAGAGTCGTGGGCACAAGATGTATTAGCCGCAGTAGATAGCTCTTAACACCGACAGTCTGAACTTTCATGCTACAATGTACCGTGTGTAGTTTCGACTAATGCGATGTAGTCAAATGTACAATAATGCATCTTTTAACGTCGGTAATTAACTTCCACTTCAGCTGCTATATTTACGGCTCTATGATCATCGAATATACACAACTCAATGTTTTATTGGCTCAGAACCAGCATGAACAGCATATGTCTTTATATACAATGTACTTTATGCTTTAGGGGAATTATGAGTAAGTGAGTTGGCTTAGTGCAGCCTTGACAAGAACTCGAGTTGTATACGCTTCTGATTTCCCAGGATTAAAACTCATGGTCATTGGATTATGGTTGGTTTGTTGTTTAACGCCGCACTCAGCAATATTCCAGCTATAGGGCGGCGGTCTGTAAATAATCGATAATGATATCGCTAGAATATTGCCAGAAGCGGCGTTAAACTATACTCACTCACCCAAAATCTTACATTTTTATCTTTTTAAATTTTTTTAAATTTAAAAAAAAATAATTCTATTCCCAAAATCTTACATGGATGACGACAAACACGAGACAACAGGAATTCCCTAGAACAACCGCCATATAGCTGGAATATTGCTGAGTGCGGCTTTAAACAACCAACTAACCAATCCTAGAACAAAGTAACACAGACAGTAGACTCACATAGCCTTTATGTCAGGATAACGTTCAACTGGCAAGCATTAAAGACAGACGGTGATTTTTTCACGTTTTCCCCACAAAACCCCAGCGTGCAGTACGAACATCTTTGTCGTTGGAGTAACTCTGTGTCATGGCAATTTTAAGTTTAAAAAACATGACAATTAACTGCTAGTCACTATATTTTACACATTACTGTATCTTAATTTCATTATAACTGCAACCGACGCATTTTAGTTTTGCTTTTATAGTTCCTCAAATGGGAGCTATATGGAGGGTCTGTAAAGCCCCCATCAAGCTGCTCATAAAGGTTTGAAACCCCATAAATCTGCTTCTCTGTACTAAAGTCTGTTTACCGTGCGCTTGTCGGGGAAGGGGAGGGGGTGTTGTTCATGTCGGACACTGGTAAATCTTGCAACGTGCTAATTCAATAATATTGCACGACTATTGACGAAAACATCAAAAACTCTGTCACTCCACGACAGATAGGAAGCAGACACCAACGCCAAACAAGCCGCGTCTTAATTACCGGCCATTTGATGCAGATAAAGAAGAAATTCCTCTAGTCCCTTGCCACCGCTGTCCGAGAGTTATGAGAACTTCGATCGCCGGAGATTAAAAAGACGAGTTATTGCAACTTGTTCATCGAACGCTCTTGCTGCCAACTGGATGAGGACTCGTCAAGGATTGACCCGGCCCTGCTAAGAGCTCCAGGGACCATGTACGGAGCTCAGTGGCTAGAAATTGCTGTTTTTATAAACAACACATCGGCAAGAAACACTTTGATGGATTGGATTGAGATGAGAGAGGTAGTTATAAGCACTCGCCTCGCCAGTTAAACTTCCAAATGGTGAAGAATTCATCTCGAGTATGTATCAAAATGTCCTCTGATCACTCGGAACTATTGAAGCAATCGATTGTAGATCCTGAGTAAATGTTTACCACCAGCGTAATGAAGTTTGCAAAATCAAAGTTCACAATTTGTAATATTCATACTCTCCAAACGCTTCCTTCCTGGGGGAATTTTATTCATGAATGACTCTTAAACGACCATAGCATATCTGAGAACACAAAGGCGCTTATAGTGGAAAGAATTCGTTCCATTATTAATCTTACATTTCTGCTATTTCTAGACTCACTGCGCCGAACGGCTGATTGAATAATTTTGTACGCGAAAGTGTCCTGATTATCGGTATAAATTTGAAATAGTTTGCGCAAATCTTTCTGATCTGAATTTTGTAATGTGGCAGATTGAAAAAGGTCGGGACGACATCTGCAATTCCTTGCCAAAATCTCACGGCACATTTTTCAGAGGAATTGTTCAAGGTCATTACTTGCCCCTCGCAATACCGACGGATGGACACGATTCAATTTTAGCTTTAACACCATGTACTAATGAAATGAGTGAGTTTAGTGTTACGCCGCGTTTAGCAATATTCCTGCAATATCACGGCGGGGGACACATTGTACCCATGTGGGGAATCGAACCCGGGTCTTCGGCGTGATGAGCGAATGCTTTAACCACAAGGCTACCCCATCGTCCCTTATATGCTACTGAAAGCACTACCTCCATCGTCAATCGAGATTTTGCATACCCTGAATCCGTCCATCGGTATGAATACAGCCACTATACAGGGTGGTGGATGTATTTAACGAATGAAGACACAGGACGGTCCCTGAGAGACTCCATCGAGTGTCCAGGTCCCTGAGAGACTCCACCGAGAGTCCAGGTCACTGAGAGACTCCACCGAGTGTCCATTTTCCTGAGAGACTCCACGGAGTGTCCGGGTCCCTGAGAGACTCCACGGAGTGTCCAGGTCCCTGAGAGACTCCACCGAGTGTCCAGGTCCCTGAGAGACTCCACCGAGTGTCCAGGTCCCTGAGAGACTCCACCGAGTGTCCGGGTCCCTGAGAGACTCCACGGAGTGTCCGGGTCCCTGAGAGACTCCACCGAGTGTCCAGGTCACTGAGACTAGGCTACATCCCACAGATATCGGCAATAGTTCTTGTGCCTGGTGTGTCATGTGTCATAAATTGTTATGTCCATCTGCACGACGTATCATTTCAATATTAGACAATGGTGGGGTTTACAGAAACTTCGTGTACGGAGAAGGCTCATTTGACATCATTGCGATGTAATCAGTCTCACGGGCTGACTATAATACACGTGTCACTAAAACAAACGCATCTACTAACGGGTGATGGGGGAACATATCTGAAAGATGTACGGCCACTCTTAAAGTTTAAATCCTCTCGTAGTTGTATACTCCGCGGTGAGTTGAGAACACAATTCGAATTGATTCGTTGACCAGGTTAATAATGACATACGTTTTGAGCATACACCTTCCTCTTCGTAAGATGCCTATTATGAATGAATATTAATGAAATAATATTAATATTTCATTAATATTACAGTAGCTACAATAGCTTCAACAATTTCGTACCAAAGCCATAACTCCCGTCTATCGACGGAACATGGGAATTTCGCAGACATGAGTCCGCTAATGGGACACACAAAACTCCAATTCAATATAGCATTTTACATTAGATTAACCACTGTGAAATAACACGTCATTGTATGTTACGGTAACTATTGAGTGTAAGTATTGCGCGGAGCAGCAGCCGCCATCAATGGCGGAAGGAGGGGGCAGAGAAGAATCATGTCCCTCAATACCTCGGATATTGACGACATTTACATGCTGTGCTCTGTCATCCATAACGCGCTAATCCAACAAAGAATTACACTATTGACATTTTACATCCATTAAGAAAGGAGTCGCGATTTGTGTTACCATTAACACATTTGTGAAATCGATGCAGCCACTGAATGGAAATGCACTAATTAAGTGCATCAACTTCCTTCAACATTGACGTTCACTTTTCCATCATCAACGAACGCCGTGACACATGTGTCATCTTCTGCGAACACCTCGGCACAAATGCCATTAGCATCAGCGAACACCGTGAACAGAAGTGTCATCATCAGCGAACACCGTGACTGACGTGTCATCATCAGCAAAAACCGTGAAAAGAAGTGTCATCATCAGCAAAAACCGTGAAAAGAAGTGTCATCATCAGCGAACACCGTGAACAGAAGTGTCATCATCAGCAAACACCGTGAAAAGAAGTGTCATCATCAGCAAACACCGTGACAGAAGTGTCATCATCAGCGAACACCGTGAACAGAAGTGTCATCATCAGCGAACTCCGTGGCAGACGTGTAATCATCAGCAAACACCGTGACAGACGTGTCATCATCAGCTAACACCGTGACAGACGTGTCATCATCAGCTAACACCGTGACAGACGTGTCATCATCAGCTAACACCGTGACAGACGTGTCATCATCAGCTAACACCGCGACAGACGTGCCATCATCAGCGAACACCGTGAACAGAAATGTCATCATCAGCGAACACCGTGACTGACGTCATCATCAGCGAACACCGTGACAGACGTGTCATCTGTCAACGTTTAAACAATATGGACTTAGGGTTTCCAAATTTAATTTATTCCATACACTGCAGAGTGTTTTTGCGTACATGTTATTCAACTTGTCAGTTTATTGAAACAGCTTCTTGTCTCTTATTCTTTGATAGATCAATCAAGTGTACTTACTTTAGAAAGTGCAATATTTAACAAGTTGTTTTTAACATCTGTGATGGATGTATTTGTACAGCTTCGATTCATAATATCGTTCTCTTGTAAACCTGAGGCACAATTTCACAGTTTCTTTAAATTGGAATGATTAATTTGTTTTTAAATTTACGATCTTGCAATATTTTCTCAATAAGGAATTCAGTGCTGCCATGGTTACAGGTCACCTGCTCGTGCAATGGACCACGTGACCACACACTCAACATGTCCCGAACGTGCCCGACTAATGTTCACGCGCTCAGCAGAACGTTTGAATCAGCGGTCGTCTTTCATGCTTATTGATGTTATAAAAAAAGTTATGAAAACGGAAGTATAAAATCGATGCCAAGGCGAGAAACTGTTCTGGTCAAGTGCCATCGATCAGTGACCGTTTTTCACCATGTATCAAAGAGACTGGCTTTATGGGAGAAAGGCGAAACATAAATTGCCACTGTTGAAATTCTTACAAAATATCAAAATACTTCATAGAAAGCTCTGGATGTTTTAACAAAGGCATCTTAATGCAGAAGCTGCAATCAAACAACCTCAACCCCCTCAACCCCCGGTTCAACGAGCAGTTGGCCTAATTATTCCTATCAAATTAACGCCAAACTCACATCAAACAAGTTGGGGAAATTTACAACATAGACTGGTGAAGGGTAAAATTTGAACTGGGCTCGGTCTTGCAGTAGCGACGCATGGCTAAGCAGCAAGCAGCACGCCTAATGAAGGGTCTGGAACCTTAACAGAGGACACATCATGGCAGCTAATGCCAGTTCTACACCATTCAGAAGCAGTACCGAGAACAGTCTAACTGAATCTTAGTGGAAACCAACACAATTTGCCAGTCTGATTGGGTTATAACGACTTATTAATCACAAAGAAATCGACGGTCGATTGAGCAGTTTGCTAAAATTCAATCGACGTGGGAGCGGCCCTCTCTCAGTTGGTTGAAGCAAATAGAAACTCAACTATGTGACCAGATTGATCATTTAAAGGGGCAACACTCGGGAAATAACAGGCGTGGGTACACTTTATTCCCCACTTCTATCATTATTGAAATGAATTTAGTGGTAAGCTGCACTGTAGAGGCCGTTTGATTTAAAAATAAACGCTCAGGCCAAAGGTTTATGCTTAATCGGTATATTTTCATGTTCGACTGAATATCAATATGCTCGTAAATTTCTTTCTTTTTATCAAAGGTGCACTCATCTTGAAGAGCGAGGCTTGTGTTAATGTTTAAATGTGCATGAAATGCTTTTATCAAATCAATTGTTTTGTACTGAATCAAACAATAATTCACATATCACAAATAGTGCTTTCTTGGTTCAGATGTCGGTAACTGAAAGCGGTGATATACCCAACTCACTCATTCACTTGACTCTCTCAGATGTCTGTGACATGTGGAACGGTGTTGAAAGTTAAGTTGAGTGAGTGAGTTTTACGCCGCACTCAGCAATATTCAAGCTATATGGCGGTGGTCTGTAAATAATCGAGTCTGGACCAGACAATCCAGTGATCAACAGCACGAGCATCGATCTGGGAACCGATGACATGTGTCAACCAAGTCAGCGAGCCTGACAACCCGATCCCGTTAGTCGCCTCTCACGACAAGCATGGGTTGCTGAAGGTACATTCTAACCCGGACCTTCACGGGTGTTGAAAGTTAAGATTTTCAGAATCTCAGTTGAATAATTACGAACACACTACAAGAAATATAGAAAATACAGTCGAACCCCTTCAGACTTCATCAAAGAGGGGACGGTTGGTTAAACCGTATGCAATTCGCGCTGAAGACCCGGGTTCGATTCTCCACATGGGTACACTGTGTGAATCCCATTTCTGGTGTCCCCATCCGTGATTTTGCTGGAATATTGCTAAAAGCCGTGTAAAACATACTCACTCACTCGTCACGTGATGTCATTTTGCATAAACGGGTAAACAGGAATCGACCGCATTGACGAGGTTTCCGGACAAATGGGGTTTGATGATATGTGACACATGCATATATGATGATATATGTGTTTAATATACAGTTAACTATGGTATTCAAAATTCAAACCCGTGGTCCAGATCCACAAAGTCATCTTATTGCTAAGAATGTCGTAAGTCGATGTTAATGTAGAAAAATTAAGATCGTCTTAATGCTAAGATTGTTTTCTGGAACGGGTCTAGAATGACGAACCGATTCCAATGACACGAGTGTCAGGAGTTGACTTTACACCACAATGATATATTTAAATGCTTACCTGCTCTTTAGATATATAGATAGGTTTGTTGAGTATAATCCACGTGACCGTCTCCTGGCAACCAGGGTAAGTGAGGGAGCCATCGTAGGTCATGTAGTGCTCCGTCTTCGGCAGCAGCTGTTCTAAGGCCAGGTGATGGACCTTTGCCCGCTTGCCTGGAACAGGCACACAGGTATATACACCAAGGGCAACAGCAAAATATATGCTGGGTGAAACATTCGTTGCCAAACCATTTTGAAAAGAGGGCTTACGATCTTGCCTGTGACAAAAGGACTACATATAGTATATCTTCTTTAAGGCCAGGGCGGTGGGGTAGTCTAGTGGTTAATGCGTTCCTTTGTCACGCCGAAGGCCCGGGTTCGATTCCACACATGGATACAATGCGTGAAGCCCATTTCTGGTGTCCCCCGCCGTGATGTTGCTGGAATGTTGCTAAAAGCGGCCTAAACCCAAACTCACTCACTCACTAAGGCCAAAACATTACATGACACCTTGCCCAGAACCAAAGAAGAAATATATATATATATATATATATATATATATATATATATATATATATATATATATATATATATATATATACACACAGCATTGCAAGTGGCAATAAATGGTCTTGTATGGCATATCTTGTCTGCTAACGGGATCGGGTGGTCAGGCTCGCTGACTTGGTTAACACATGTCATCGGTTCCCAATAGCGTAGATCGATGCTCATGCTGTTGATCACTGGATTGTCTGGTTCAGACTCGATTATTTACAGACCGCCGCCATATTGCTGGAATATTGCTGAGTGCGGCGTAAAACTAAACTCACTCACTCCTGTCTGCTACGTTCTAGCTTCCCATACCTACACGACAGCCACCTAAGGCCCACCTTATTCACAAATCACTCATTTTTGTCTTGAAACCCTGGCAAGACTTCATAAAATGCTTCACATCAAATTTGCAATGTACTCGTAGAATCGATATTAGCATTTGACATAAGCATATAATATATATTATATGCATAAGCGTAGCGACAGAAGGAGAGTTATAGAATTCTCCGACGTGAAGACGTACACAACATTAAAGACTGCATGTCCCTCGGATATAGAGATAATCATACAGTATTGATCTCGGGATCATGATATTATTACCTTTATAATGCAGTCCCCTCAGTTCTTTCGTTATTAACACAAATGCTTTGTTTGGTTCCTTGCCAATCTGAAAAGTAATGACACTGTATATAATAATAGTAGTAGTCATCATCATGATGATGATGATGATGATGATGATGATGATGAAGTGACGAAACTGTTTCTATAATCATAAGACACCTCTTTGAAACCATTGTACGATTCGACTTTATCGTAAGCATGGGTTTGTGAATGACGTCCGTCACATGCAAAGCAAGTCAAACGTTTACCTGAAAAGCGTAAACAATTGCAACATCTTCAGACACTATCGGGGTACGTCACAGAACCTAATGACATGATCCTTCCTGCCGTACACATTCACGACAAACATAATACTCTCCACCTATGATAACCAGATCCACAAAGCGTTCGTAGCGCTACGACATTCGTAAGCCTATGATAAACTTTAGAGTTGCGACAGGTCGTAACGTTACGAACGTTTTGTGGATCGGAACCCTGACTCCCAAACGGACGCACATTTACGGTTCTACTGGGGCTTAAGTAAATAAATATATATGTTGCCATTTTATAATTATGAAGTGTTTCGAAATTGGCATTAGAGAATCGCCAAGCTGCTACCAGTGGAACAATTTATTGGTGACGTCAAATTCCAATTACATGTACCGTGTATGCTTTCAGTGCTTAAAACAAAGTTTCTTAAGTTTATTTGTCTACACAAATTGACACTAATTTGTTCACAGTATATGAAGGCAAATCTATATATTTTTAGAAAAAAGGCATGGTTTAATTTGCAACAACATCAAAGGAGAGCAGCATTTTGCTCTTTGACATTAAAGTGCGACAGCCGTAGGTCTGTATAAATTACTGTTATCATAGAACTTAGCATCCTAATCATGTACCGAACATATTTAGGAGAAGTTGGATTGACACATTATCCAATAAGTTGAAATATGGCGGAGGTTCATCAAACTAGAGTAAATGAATATGTTTGGTTCACGTAAATAAAGTAATTGGTAGTCGGAAAAATCAGAAAAAAATACACCGAGAAATATTTTTCAGAACAGCGGAAAGTTGATTTGCTGGTTATAGCGTTTCTTTCCTGTAAATGCGTATGTATGCGTACGTGCAAGCGTTTGCGTATGCCTGTCATACGTGCGTATGAACATTGTTTGATACTGTTGGCTACGTATAGGCATAATGATAAAGTCATTCCTGTCATAGTCTGTCATACAGACCCTGAAACACATTTATCCAAGATAGTCCTTGCAAGGCTGGAATATGTGGCAAGTCTAGATTTCCGAAGTTTCAGGAATGAAGAAAGTCTCCGGGCTCCTTTTCATTATATACTATGATTATTTAGGAAATGTCTTTTTTCTGTAAAATATGTTCATTTCAGAGACTAGCTGTTATTCTAATCCTGTTACAAAACATTATAAGTATTATCTTTGTCATTAGAAGTATGCGCGCCTGTGTGTCATATTGTGCGTGCGCGCCGGTGTGTGTGTGTGTGTGTGTGTGTGTGTGAGAGAGAGAGAGAGAGAGAGAATGGACTTACATTTTATAGAAATCTAAGATGTGTGCATGTATACACATGTAGGCTTGCTGGAAAAATAATATAATGTAATGTTCATACTCAAGAGCGTCTCTTCAGCCTATAGAGGTTTGTTAACTGCGTCAAATAAACATATGCTTGCATACGATCTGCCCCACAATCTGTAGCATACTAAAATAACCAATCAATCAATAACCAATCATCGATGCTCAAGGGCGTCGGTGACCTTCGATCAAACTGTGTAGCGCAAAGTGCAAAGACATGCCCACTGTCGAGACGCTGACGTCACGTGATCACTGACCTCCATGAAGACGGCGAGAATAGCAAGCCCCTTGTTTCCATGGATGGCCTCGGATATGTTGGAGTACAGGTCGGAGTTGTAGGCAATGATGTGCATCTGGAAAATATAATACACGGGTTATTTAATTGGGAAATATCTAGTTGTTAATTTTCACGAGCGACGATAAAGAAATATGAAAATGTAGAACCCAGAGTTGCAACAGTACGTTCGAATCGTTGTGGAGAGTTACGTCCCTTGGTTATGCACAACTTGTTATCGTTGGTTCACATCCCACACTCACCGAGTTTGTGTCTAGGTTTGTCAACACCGAACCTGCAAGCTTTTCATTATCCAGAGCTTTCCACACTAAGTATGTGATAAGACCGGTATTTTCAAGGAGTTTTGTCTTTCCGTAATGAACCAGTACAGCTTTGTACCAATTTCATTTTGAACCTATACGATGACAAGTAAACATCCAATGAAGCCTATATCACCGTCCTCGATTGAAAAAGTTTTCTTAATTTGTTGAACCGATATTCTTTCGCTTAATATATTTATTTTCATTTGATATTTATGTTTACGAACATGATTTATTTTATTAATCCCTATACCCTCCGGCCAATACTAAGTAATGGATATATATGAAGCATAGTTTCTTTAATCAGTCATCATACCTTTGAAATATTGAGAAAGTACCCCGTGTTAACTGAATGGACTAATTGCATGATCTTTTCCCCGCTCAAGGGAAATTAAAAATATGGAATTGTGATCATATTTATCGTTTTACCCGGAGTGGTGTTGAGGGCACTGAGTGTTGTTTGCTATGTATAGAGATATTTTTTATTAACACACTAGACATACTGTCTACTAGACATCTTTGATGTTAAAAATGTTTCAGAACAAGTCTTTTTGCTTTTTTGGGTACATCATGTAGCACGTTAAACCTCATCGCATGCATGCGCAAAACAATTAGAGGAAAACATTATTAGCATCCTTATACATCAAAGAGCGACAATTCTTGCTTTCCTTCACGTTATGTGTATCCCAGAGTTTACATTTAAAACGGTAGTGCCAATAATCGTAGTATACACGTGAGGTTTTCATGTTGTTTGTCGGCAGCTACACTGACGGCGAAGTCTATTCTAATAAAAATATTACAGTAACAAATTATAGTTCTCATTTGACAATTTACTCCTTTCACAAAAGAGTGGCTGAACATTATTTTACATCGTCGGATGAATAGCTCTGTTCTCGTAGAAACACGTACTAGTAATTTCATATCAAAACTTATTTTGACTTAAATTTAAATACGATCAGAGACACATACTGTTCAATGCAGTTCATCAACTTCGGTATTTAGTCTTTAATCTTCAGAAAAAATCTTGGTAGATTTATGAATTGACTGGAGCGAAGCTTTAAATCCATTACAACAATTTAATCAGGGAGTGCAGTCAGTCTACTGATAAAGCGACTATAACTCCTCGTCGGGGACTTGTAATCGAATTTTTGTTTTCTGATCGACTGAGCAGAGGAAACAGTGAAAATACCGGCTTGTTTATGGCGTCAGGTCCTGCTCGGGAGGGACGCGTTCTGTGAGGAGGGGGAGTCATGGGGAGAGGTGGATGGGGTTTGGATGGTAAGGATAGCTGAAGTAAGGGTGTTGTTATTTTTAAAACATCGAAGGGGTGATGTGGGTATTATGGCGACCACTGGCATAGTGTACCACTGAGGTTCAGCAAGTGTGCGTGTGTGCGCGTGTGCGTGTGCGTGTTCGTGTGCATTAGTAGCTTTGGAAACACTGGGGATTGGCTTATCTTTGTTAACACAAACGAGAGGTGAATACATGATTGCATATTAAGTAAGTGGATATTTGGTCATGCTATCAACCACCGATTTATCTTATTAGTCTGTTTACGTACTCATGACACCCACTTTACTGCTGAATAGAACATACTTGGTTGGCGTTTAGGGGTTTGTCTGTGAGTAGGTGAAGACGAGCGTCTGATAATGACATGGAGGGTGTGAGAGCGGCTGTGGACAGGGTGGAACAGTGTGAGTCTGAGTGTGGTCAGTCGGTTGGTTTGTTGTTTAATGCCGCACTCGGCAATATTCCAGCTATAAGGCGGCGGTCTGTAAATAATCGAGTCTGGACCAGACAATCCAGTGAACAACAGCATGAACATCGATCTACGCAATTGGGATACGATGACATGTGTCAACCAAGTCAGCGAGTCTGACCACCCGATTCTGTTAGGGGTCTGGTCAGGATAGGGTGTGTGAGAGTGGGTATGGTCGGGATGGAGGGATGTGAGTGTGGGGATGTGAGACTGAATGTAAGACTGAACTGATCTGTATAAGGTCCTAATGGCTACAGAAACACTACGCTAAAATACACCCAATTAAATAACATTCCTTTCGATGTTGATGCAGTGATGAGAGATGAATGGTACCATCCATGGTGTTTATTCATGGAATGAAACTATTACACCATGGATAACCGGGAATGGATGCGAATGTATTAAAAAATTTCATGACGAACAAACATCAGTTCCTCTCCATAATCCACACACCATCAATTACCCACACAACAAACACCGATGTCGCAAAATTAACCAACTCATCTTATAAAACAAACCTACCCCTAAAGACCATATGTGATGAACGTACAAATATCTCAGCGACGCATTATGTAAATACACAAAATAACATTATCCTACACGAAGAATGAAGAGCGCAGGCTTGAGATGCACCCAATGGTTAAGTGGTACTATATAATTACACGATTGACGGTACTATATACATGTGAACCGAAGATCAAACACAGTGGCAATATGGTGTCGATCCGACAATGTTCAACATACCACTTATACAACCATTACTGCTCTCTATCGATTACATAATGGACATGAGGACGCCGAATTAACATGGAATCCACTGCAGCAGCTGCAACCACGCAGACAGCATCGTCAGATCAAATAGACGATAACGACGAAGATCTAATCCAATATTGAGGATTAAGGCATTTTCTAGGCGAGTTAGCCAGTATTGATTATGTTTGCTTGACATGCCAAGGTCTGTGACGGGATGATAATTACATTGAGATAAGCTTGATGTATCCCCCTCACTCTGGAGACTGCTCTCACAAACGATATCATCATTATTCGAAAATTACGCTAACTTAGAATTAAACGAATGGTTGGAATCCATAGTAGGTCACAAATACGTCCTTGGTTTACATTTGTGCTCTTACTATGGAATAATTCGAGTAAACAACATTTATAACGAACTAACGGACATAACGAACTGGTGAGTGAGTGAGTTAGGTTTTACGCCGCTTTTAGCAATATTCCAGACACCAGAAATGGGCTTCACACATTGTACCCATGTGGGGAATCGAACCCGGGTTTTCGGCGTGACGAGCGAACCCTTTAATCATTGGGCTACTATAACGAACCGGGGTGGTATTTTGGCTCCGGCCACTTGCTGTATATTGTAGTCCTATATCCGTGTAATGAAGCATGTGTTTTACGAAATACGGTTATAACGAACTAAAATTAGTGGTCCCTTTGAGTTCGTTATAACCGCACTTATCACTGTATGTACATAAACCCTTTTAAACTTGGATCTTGGGATCTTGGGATCTTGGGAAACAAATACTTACTTTTTCCTATACATATTGTACGGGTCCTATTGGTAGGGAAGGCATGCCTACCTTTTTCGCGGACACCTATTTCACGCCCCCAATTCCTTTGATGTCCAGGTTAATGGAGACGTGGAGGTTCATGTTTGATATTTACGTAATGCAAACAGTGATTATTTGTGCAGAAAGTGAGTGGAAAAACAGAAAGACGTAACACGGAATATTAGTTTTCCAGGTTAAATACAGTGATGACAAACCTTAGAGGCGAGCGGATCTGGGAATCGAACCTAAAACCAGTGCATCCGCGTACTAGGGGCACATATATGACATTGATGTTTATGACAAATCCACGTTAGATTAACAGTACATAGTGTCATTAGTGTTCAAAATGTGAATTTTTTTTAAGTCAGGTGATTTTTTAATTCAGCCAGTCAGTAGCGAGGCCTCAAACTTCTCAGTAGGACTGAGCAAAGCATTCCGACAAACATAACTACACTGTATCTCGAAAACGAATACAATCGAGGAAATCCGAATACAGAAAAATTACATTCGTAACTACACGTGTCATTCCGGCAAGCCGGATGGCGACTCGTACCCCCTCTCGTGGCCATATTAACGACCGGGCCTTATCTGAGTGCAAACGGGCACGGAGATGAAAATAGTCTAGGACTATTTCCATGGAAAGACAACTCTGAATTTCCAAACATGGCTACGCCTAGAAAACGACAATTAATTTATAATACAACACAAACGTTACTTTAGTATGTTTCTTATGTCGTTAACAAATATCAGTAACACGACAATTTTATAATCACGGAAATTATAATGAAAATCGATAATCGCAAAGAAACTATTTGACCTCATTTCACATTTTAATCTGCGCGATTCGATTGGTTTGCCACGATTCTTAGCAATAATGGCGTACTATACAGCTACGAGTCTTCTTGTAGGTCACGGAAAGAGGCGAGTATTTGCGAATGTGCTGTTGCGGATATTGTTTATCTCGTGTTGTTAGGCCGTGCCACCTACACCCACGCGAGGGTACGATTTACTTACAACTAGTCCCTGAAAATATACAAGTATGATAGAAAAAATGACTCCATTTAAAAAGAAATGGAGTCCGCGTGAGACGGAAGTTTCACAACTCGAGGGAAATCTAGTCTTGCTTCATTTAGGGCTTTTGAGTTACACAAAGGCCGGTCGGAATGGAAAATAATATGGTTCAGGGACTGAGACAGACTAGGGTGAGCTGTGGTGGGTATAATTGTGTTCAGCTGTTTTTTTGGCAAATATAAATATTTCAGAATCGAGGCAGTAAGTAGACCAGGTCGAATTATTTTTGAAAGCTGACATCTGATTGGCTCAAGAGCCCACGTATTCTCCATTTCGATTGGGCAGTCCGTTATGTTTTACATGGCGCGGCCTTCTATAGAGGTGTCCTTAAATCTGGACGCAGAGACCCAAGTTATCTGGGTAA